AAACCCACCAGCCACTCCTCGGAAGGAAGATGGGGCAATCTACTTCCGTAGTGATACTGCCTAGGAAACCCAAGGAGGGGTTGCTATGAGTCAGGGCTGACTCGAGGGCACATAACAACAACAACAACATGCATCACACTGATCTTTAATTCTACTGACATTTGTAGAGTGCAGGCTGTTACATATACTACCTTTGATTTGGGAAACACCAGTGAATTAAAGATAAAAATTGCCAACCTGTGAGCACATGTTTGAGCAGAGAGAGAGAAACCATAGACTATAAGCATAGTATATTAATTTCCTTGTTGCTAACAAATTACCACAAATTTAGTGGTTAAAAATAACACAGATTTATTCTCTTATAGTTCTGGAGGTCAGAATTTAAACTGGGTCCCCAGGGCTGTGTTCCATCTGGAGGCTCTAGTGGAAAATCGGTTTCTTGCCTTTTCCATTTTCCTGAGCCTGCCTACCTTCCTTGGCTCTTGGCCCCTTCTTCCATCTTCGGAGCCAGCAGCATACAGTCTCTAACATCAGATTGTGTCCTTACATTTTCTCTCTCTAATTTTGGCCTTCCTTACTCCTTCTTAGAAAGACCCTAGTCATTACATCATTGCAGCTACCTACATATGCCAAGATAATCTTAAAAACAAATGAAACCACTCCTTCAGAGTCCCTTTTGCATATAATGTAACTGCTCAAGTAATATCCTTTGGATGGATCAACACCAGGCTAGTCCCTATGAGACAGAGGTAAAATTGTGCCAAATGTCTAATTTTTCCAAACTGTTTTACTATCACTCCATCATCTCTACCATCAACTACTCCTCCTTCAGCCCATGGTAGGGTTCCGTATTTCACTGTAACTTTTTATAGAACTCACAAGCTGCAAAGGAAATTGTTCATGAGGTTTTAGAGGCTGGCAAGTCCCAAATGTGTGGGTCAGGTGTTGGTCTGGAAATTCTCCTCCCTCATGTGGTTTCAGGAGATGACAAATCCAAACGGGCAGGTGAGATGACTGGCTGTTCAAGTCCCAGGAAGATGGGGGAGGTCAGATGATGAAGAACCAGATACAGGATCCAGAACAATAGAGAGAACTTTGCCAGAGCTTTCATATATATTGGATGCAAGGAAAATAAGGGTGATGATTTGAGTTATACCTTCTAGTAATCCTACCTCATTAACATAACAGACAGCTCACTCCATAATGAGACCATCACCACAGGCATAGAGGCTAGGATTTACAATACATAAAAAATAAATTAAAAAATTAGATAAATAGTGGACTATGACTAGAAGGGGCATACTAAGTAATTGACAGTACTGTGGTAACATATTCACAGGTTCCAACGATTAGAATGTGGACATCTTTGGGGATGATTTTTTCCAGCCTACCACATATAGTAAATAAGGACAGTGTTTATGTTAGAAGATGGTAAGTGCTATGGGAGAGCCCCCTCCCAGTAAGGGAGCAGGAATCCAGGGCCACAAGGCCAGATACAGGTAAAGGGGGAAGAGAGCCCATACCCAGGCAGAAGCAGGGGCCAGGGAGGCTGGCTAGAACACATAGGGGGAAGGTCAGGAAGTAGGCAGATTGGTTCTGGAAAAATTAAGAGAGATGAACTTGTCTGTCAATTTCTCATACTGTGGTGGCTTGGGTGCTGCTGTGAAGCTGGAGGCTGTACCACCAGTGTTTCAAATGCCAACATGGTTGCCCATGGTGGATAGGTTTAGCGGAGCTTCCAGACTGAGACATACTCGGAAGAAGGAAGAAGCCATGCACTGCTCAAAGAATTGGACAGGGAAAAGCTTATGAATAGCAATGAAATACTGTCTGATATATTACTGGAAAACTTTATGAATAGCCTTGAAACATTGTCTGATACAGTGCCAGAAGAGCTCCTCAGGTCAGAAGGCATTCAAAGTACCACTTGGAAAGAGCTGCCTCATCAGAATAGAACTGACCTTAATGATATGGATAAAGTAGAGCTTTCTGGACCTCCACTTGCTGATGTGACATGACTCAAAATAAGAAGAAACAGCCGCAAACATCCATTCATAATCAGAACATGGAATGTATGAAGTATGAATCTACAAAAATTGGAAGTTGTCAAAATGAAATGAAATCCATAAAGATTGATATCCTAGGCATTAGCTGAAATGGACCAGTTTTGGCTATTTTGAATCAGACAGCCATTTGATCTACTCTGCTGGGAATGACAAGTTGAAAAGGAATGAGGTGGGAGTAATCGTCATAAAGAATGTTTCAGGATCTATCCTGAAGTACAGTACTGTCAGTGATAGGATAATATCCATACACCTACAAGGAAGACCAGTTAATACTACTATTATTCAAACTTACACACCAACCACCAGAGCCGAAGATGAGGAATTGGAAGATT